GAACGAATTAAATTGGTAACTCTCAAGAGTTGATGAGTAGTTGAATGCCCATGGCGAAATCCAAACTGCTCATCTGCAAAAATTGAGTTCGTATTGATGTGAAGCATCATTCTATTTAAAATAATCTTTTCAAAAAGTTACTTATTGAAGAAAGCTAACTTATTGGGCGGTAGCTAGAAGCTTCAGCTGGATTTTTATCCGGCTTCAAAATTGGAATAACTTGTGCATTTTTCCATTTATCAGGAAAGTATGCCAAATGGAAACATCTGTTAAATAATTTTACCAAGAAAATTCCATCATCACCTGGAGCTTTCATATTTCGAATCTTTTTAGTTAAAGACCTCACTTCGTCCAAATCAGTCCCCCAGGAATCATCAAAAATATTTTCCCGAGAGAAAATATTCAGATAATCCCGATCAACCTGATTCTCAATAGGACTAGTAAGACCCAAACTGAAATTATGGGAACTCTCGAATTGCTTAGCAAGTTTCTGAGCTTTTTTTTCCAAATGTGTGATCAAAATTTTACCACCTTCTTTAAGCGCTGGAATAGGCTTTTGAGGTTTTTTCAAAAATTTTGTGAGTTTCCAAAAGGGTTTGGAACTCGGGTCTAATTAAGAAACATTATTTTCAAACGTTTTGTTCCTCAGGGCAGAGAATCGCTTTTTAATTTGTTTTTGCAAACCCCGCCAGATAACTGTCATGGCAGGATCGCGTGTTTTTTTTATATTGACTCCTACGGACATTTTTAAGATGGATCAAGAGCTGAAGATCGTTGTCTTTTGGCGTCGTAAGTAAAAAAATTGTGCAACTTTTCAGTAAGATACTTGAGAAGATATTTAAATCCGTCCAAGGTTTCAGTCAATAAACGACAATCACCTTGACGTCCAATTTGTAGTGAAAACTTGACTTCCACGAAGTTCAAAAGTTCCATGGAAATCGGAAGCGGTTATCATAATAGGGGGACTCTTTTCCTTCTTGGCATTAAGCCGGGAAAGTTTACTAGAATTTTTCCTGGATGATGGATCATTCTCATCATCCGTGAGCAAATCAAATTGTTTACTCAAATTAATTTCATCAGAAGGGGGATCAAGAGTTTGCCCCTTTCTTTTGCGTTTAGACGCCATGGCGGCAGTAAATTTTTATCCAAATTGACTTCCAAGTAGATTACTATACGAATCTGAAGGATCGAAGAGGAATTTTCCAAAGCGATATCCAAGAAGGATTACCTCGGGTAGGATTCAAACAAGGATCGAAGAGGAATAAGAGTTGAACAAGGTAGACATTTTACAGGTTGAGCACTGAAAAGTGCTATTTAAATTTATTGTAGCTTGAGGTAGTAGTAAGACTTCCTTCAGCAAAAAGCAAATAGATTCGCACGACAAGAGAGCACGATGCGGGCTGACTTGAGAAGCCATGTGTGTCCGTTTCCTTGATCCCTGTAGAGTAAAGTTGAATTCTGTTGTTTGTTGATCTCGAGACTCTCTGCAATATCCAATTTACATGGTGTAGATACGGTTCATAAAATCGTGGTGTCCTCCGTCAATAGTTGGTAGTCCTCTGTGAAGATGCGTTCTGCAACCTTTGATGTGAAATCATTTGTTGGGCCGTTTTCCTCTTGCTTTTCGTCTTATGAAAACTGGTTGTTAAAGTTCTGTTGGTTTGTCCTGCATATACTTTGCTACAATGATTACAGCTTATTTTATATACACGTGCTTTACTTAAAACAATAAAAAGGTATTTAGTGTATCCTAACAATGATTTTAATTGGTTATGTCTACTAGTGAGAACTAAATCTAATCCGATTTTTTTTTAACAGTGGTCTTACAAGCTAACAAATAATATCTTGATCGAATGGAAAGGACACTCGTTTCAAGGGTTCAGATGTTGTGGGGAGGGTTTTAAATAATCACCATTGTAGAATTTTTGCTTTTTGCCTGGATTGTGGTCTCCTTGTATCCGTTGAGTCCCACTGTTGTGAAGATGTACTGCGATTTCTTAACTTTTTGTTCGTGAATCATTTTATGGAAGGCAGCCATTTTTTGCTGGAATGAATTGTTGGAAGTAGAGGGGATAGTGCTTGTTGGTTTCCAGTAAACTTCGTATTCAAAGGAAGATGATGACGATTCCCTGATGGCAAGGAGATCGAGTGTTGCGTTTCACTGTTTTCATTTTGTTTATGTTTACTTTATTATTATTTTGTATAGTTTGCACTCGTCTCTGCCAGGAATGTCAAATGATGGGCAAATCTCACAGATCAATACAATTCCCATGCAGCATTAGACTAAATAAATACTTGTATGCAAGTTACTCCTAAAGCCACCTTGTTACACCCCTTCGCCCCAGCCTTGGTATCAATTTCTGCACTTTTCATACAGTTGACTCTCTCTTAATCGATATTCTCCCTAACTCGGTATTTATTCTAACTCCAATGAAACATGCCTGAACTTATTTCAAAATGCAGGTGATAGTATTTCCTTCAGCTTCTTCACATTACCTCCGGATGTTTCTTCCAATTTAATTTGAAAGATTCTTCAGACTTGCCCGGAAGTCGGACACCACATGTAAGGTTTTTCCAGACTTCCTCCAGAATGCATCCTGTATGTTTGTCTGACTTCCCCCAGGAGCTCTACCGACTTGCCACGACTTAGAGGCTTTCGACTTCCTCCGGAAGTTTCTCTAAACTCTAAGTCCCAAAAGCACTTCACTTCCACAGATTATGTCAGTATGATTCTCCTTTCCAGACAAACTGCCCAAGAAAGTTGCAAGATACCTATCTTACTAATATCTCCGGAAATTTTTCTGGAAGTTATCTGGAAGTTCTCATAGCTCTTTTTTTTTCTCTGCTCGGGACCTAACACCACCGCGATTCTTGCTTTCACCGCACGGTACCGATTCTAACTGAAAGGTCCCACTATTTATACCATTCAGAGTGTTGGAACACCCTCCAAAGGTGCGCCTCTTTGTCAGTTGAAACCGGATTCCTTAGCATCAAAAATAAGCAATGACATCGATAATGACCTTGCGTCAGAACCCTAGGCTTAACCACTTCAAACTAGAGAACATCGAATAGAAGATTAGGAATCACATAGATGAAGACTAACTGACTACAGCTCTTTTTTTTTCCTCTGTTCGGGACTTTACACCACTGCGACCAATAATTTAATCTATTGTAGTATATCCCGTGTCCTTAGTTTGGTGCATGTCGTATTACTCCATCACTATTGAGAAATGATGAAGTATTCGGTTTTCATACACTTGTCATTCTTGCCTTCATCGCAAGGAATCGATTCTAATTGAAAGGTTCCGCTATTTATACCCTTCGGAGTGTTTAAACACCCTCCAAAGGCGCGCCCCTTTGTCAATCAAAACTGGATTCCTTAGCAACAAAAACAAACAATGATACCGATAATGACCATGCATCAGAACCCTAGTCTTAACCACTTCAAACTAGGGAACAACGAATAGAAGATTAGGAATCACATAGATGAAGACTAACTAACTCATGTTTTCCTTGTTTCAAGATCATCCTCGGTCCAAGCAACCCGAGGACTTATCACTATCAACAAGGCATAAAAAGTAAAAAGGACTAAGATGTGTTCCTTTGATTACTGAATAATCCTGTTCCTCTAGTTTGAAGTACTCAAGACTAGGAATCGGTGGTAGATCTTACATCCCGTAACGTACCACGAAAAGGTGATCTACCCACGTTACGGGGTGACTAAAGCTCTTAGAAAAGCTTCCACCAGCATTAATTGGAATTGTTTCGAGATTTATTGATAGAGCTAAATAAATCAAATTTCCTGGAAATCGTTCCCAGGTTCGTTCAACGAAGATGTAAATTAAGATATTTAAAAATTTATCATTCCTTCTTTAGCTGTTTCCCAGGAAATTGAACTAGCTTGCCCATAATTGGGTTAAATCCCTCGGAATCACTTCCCTGGATGTGAATGAGGAAACATTTTATATAGGATTTGCATCGTAAAATTTCCGCAAAAAGTTGATTTTTTGTTCACGTCATTTTAACGCATCCAGGCAGAAACCCTGGCTGTGCCAAATATATCCTATGGAAAGTCCCATGAAAATCATCAAGGTTATCGATATATGGAAAAAAAATGTTGGATCCCACACACTTGAAACCACAAATTAAGGTCGTCAGATTCAGACTTTCTGAAGATAACACTACTTGTGTCTATCTTCGAACTTCTTATCACAGCTTCCATAGCGATAATAAAGCAATCAACCCTTCCAAATCCCATATCCGGATACCATAAACCTTGGAAAAATGCTCCTTTACTGCGTAGCTACTCAGATCTACTGTCCTGCCCGTGTGTTTTTTAGTCAGAGGAGCATAGCGACGCATTAGCGTCTAGGATAAGCATCTAAAAGAAGATTCTATAGAAAAAGCATCTAGAAGAGTCTTTTAAAGAAGATTCTAGACGCTTGTGCTTCGCTCTGCTCCTTTGACTAAAACAACACTGGCAGAACAGGATGGTACCAGTGATTTTTGTAGAATGAGCATCCAAAAAAAGCTTGTTTTAGAATTTTCTTAAAATGCATATTCTTGAAGCTAGACATGCACTGTCACTCTGAGTAGCTATGCAGTAAAAGAGCATTTTCCTACATTTATGGAGCATTTCATGGTTTTAATATTGCGTTTCTAAAGCTACCATTTGAAAACGATGGTGAAAAACTACAGTATATTCATTGAAAAGACCTAAGGCGTAGAAATTTCACTTAGTTCCAGCTAGTTTTTGCATTCCCAGGAACGACTTACTACGAAATTTGATTTTTCCAGATTCCCGATTACCGGAAACATAATTTGACTTTCCCGGGATTCCAGAGTTAAGGGATCTTTCTTCGTAGTTCACTTTTTAAAAAGAACTTTTAATGCTAACACTATTTATTACCGATCTTACACGTTACACATTTATGATGAAAAAGAGGTAGAGCCTCGTGTACTCTACCGTTTTAAAGACTAAATATGCTTACATTACAAAATTATGTTACCTGTCTCCTATTGGTGGAGCTACGTGGCGTTATGCGCCACGTTTTCGCGCCAACCAACCTTACTGCCTGATTGGTCAATCCACCTATCAGTATTTTCCTGACGATTCCCCCTCTACTGGAAAGTCGTCCCCGACTTTCACGATCCTTGGCTCCTGTGGGATGAATCTTGGTTGCCTGATGTGATGGTGTGTGTCGTTGTCCTGCGTTAGTCCTCGTTCCCGTGTTGGTTCGTCTTGGTATCCAGAAGGGCGTCGATTTACATGGTAAGGATGAAAGAACTGTCTTTGTAACTAATGTGTATGATAATGTTCCAAATGAGAGCCAGCTAACCAGATGTAGTTGCCAGTGTATGTTGTCCGTAGTCATATTCAGATGCTCTATATGACTCCGGTGCTCCAGATTGATTTCCTGTAAGTACTGTAAAGGCATTTTGTTTATGATTTTTGAAGGAGTTACCGTTAGTCCCGTCGTTGGAAGATAAGTTTTTTGTAATACGTCCGTGTTGTTGTTGGTGTATTCCTCGTCGTTCAACTTGATGGTACAGCCAGAGAACAGGATAAGGTATGATCCTCGTAGCTCTCTTACTTGCCTTGAACAGTTTGATGTTAGGGTGACGTTGTTAGCACTCACCAATATGTTTGCATCATCTATTCGCCTTATGAAGTTTTGTCCATATACTTTCTCCATAGGACATTGAGCTGATTCGCCATCAACCAACTGTTGAACGCATTTTCCCAACGGTTCTAGCTGTGAATTCGTGCAGATATATTGATTTCGATGCCGTTTACATGGAGTGTTGGTTAAAAAGGAATTAAGTCCTTTCACGTAGGATTTCGTCGTTAAATGGATTCGATGGTTGTTGGAAATTACTGGTTCTATGTGATTTAAGTGATATTCCACATCTTTGACTAGTGGAATTTTGAGCGTGTAAATAATTTCTTCCTTACCATACAGCACGTAGGCGCTGGATATATCTAATATGTTGTCGACTGCACCCGTTCCAAGACCACTGTTGCTGAGGAATTCCTGGGCTATGGTTATCTCGTCTGGTGAAATGATGCGGCTGCTGGGGATATTGCGTCGGGCTAGTGTGATCGCTTCTTCTATTAGTCCTAACTGATCGATTAACTCATCTAAATGAAATATCAAATTAACTGACTCAAAACCTTCAATGGTTTTATTTTGAAATCTATCATGAAATTTAACGAAAGTATTGATTGATTCTGTGGTATTTCTCATTCTAGTTTCCAGTATGCTATTGATTTTAACTTGTCTGTTGTTCTGATCAATAAGAGAATTAATTGTACCGTTAATAATTTTTAGATCGTCGGCATCCAGGCTGCCTGATACATATTTCCAAGCGCGACCTAAACTTTCCCATCGCTTTTGTCTAGAGGGTCTAAATTTATTGTACATTGAATGGAGTTTTTCTGACTTAACTTTTAATATTGGACTTAACATTTGTTGTCTAGAAATTTGGTTTTCGATTATTGAGTCTAGATTTTTGATTGTCTCTGCAAGTGAATTAAGGTTTATATGATGTCCAATTCTCTAATAACTGCTGCTGATTTTAGCTATTCCTATTCGGGATGATACCACCGGGTTTTTCTCCACGTCGTGTATCCGTATGTCCGCGTGTGACCTTGTTTCCAGCAGGCATAGCCTGAAAGGTCAACTTTGCGTCAGTCAGAGTGTTTGATACTAGTCTTATGGATTTTTATGTTTTGGTCGTCAGTTACTGTTTTTTTTTTTCATTTTGTTCCTTTACGTCTATTAGTCTGTATCGGTTTCCGTAAGGGTGTGGTTTTGCCTTTCCTTTAACCAATACTTTAGTCTTTTCAATATTTTTATATTGTCTATTTTCTAAAGGCGTCTCTGTATTTTTCGATGCAAATCGTCTGATGTTGTCCCGTGCAGTCTGTATGTTGATTTGCTTCGCGAGATTAATTTCAGCTAGATTTAATGAATCGCTTGTTCCGAAAATAATTTCGCGAGGCTTCAAGTTCGTCGTACTGTGCTTTGAGTCGTTGTAAAGCGCAGTAACCAGTGCGAGTCCTTCATAGAGGGTCAGGTTTTCAACTTTGCTGCGGTTTGCTAGGTACATTTCCAGCAATGTACTGTGGAAGCGTTCCACAATTCCATTACCTCTGCAGTCACTAGCAAAATGCAATGCGATCCCTTGCGTCTCTAGAAAGGCTCTAAATCGAGCATTTCGAAATCCCGCCGCTTGATCACAGGTGATCATTTTCGGCAACCCGAAGATTTTGAAATACTCGATCAGTGTTTCCTGAAGTATACCGTTGTCTCGTTTTCGATTTGAAATATTTGTGCGAATTTGGAAAAAAGAATCTACGAGAGTGAGGAATTTGTGTCGCTCCTTGACATAGACGTCAATGGAAACGTTTTCGAAAGGTTTCTCGTAAATCCTTCGAGCGATAGGTATTTTAAATGGTTTTCGCTCGTATTTGGCGAATTTACAGTCTTGACAATTTTTGATAAATGCTTTAACCTTGCCAAGCATACCATGAAAGTAAGCGCACTTCCTAATTTCCTCATATGTCAGCTTATAATTTCTGTGGTTAAAGTTATGATGCTTAGATATAAATTCTTGCTGGTCCGCGCCTGAAATTAGATCTGGTAGAAGAATATTAGAATATTGTACCTTTAAATTTTTGCTATAATTTGCTTTAATAATTTTATCGCAACTGCGTTTAATCTCCACCGGAGCGAATATGCAGTTACTGGAGGTAGGATCCAAATATTTCTTTAAAATTACTTTAAGTTCATCATCTGAAAGTCTTTCTTTGTGGAATACATGCCGTATTTGACCCGGAAAAATTCTACACATAATGTGTGGACTTTTCCTTTTGTCTGAAGTTATCCTGATTACAAGCTGATTTTGAAATTTGTTGACAATTTCCGAACCGTATATATCATTATTAGGATGACATTCATTTGATAGTTCTTGTAAATTGATTTCAGCGGGTGGGATTCTAGAAAGTCCATCCGCTACAACATTCTGCTTTCCCTTCTTATATACAATTTTAAAGTCATATTGTTCTAGGTAGAGTCGCTGACGTGTAACTCTTCCTGTAGCGTCAGTCAACTTAAGCTCTTTCGTCAAGGGCTCATGCTCCATATATATTGTAAAAGGTCTTCCATATAAATATGGTCTGAACCTTTTAGCTGCAAAGTAAATAGCCAATAGTTCTTTAGCCGTGGCATAATAATTTTGCTCGGCTTGAGAAAGCGTCCGAGAAAGGTAGGCTATTGGCCTTTCCTTTCCATCTACTAATTGTGCCAAAACCGTCCCAATAGCAATATTGGAGGCATCTGTTGTTAGTAGGAAGGGTTTATCGAAATCGGGGTAAGCTAGTAACAAATCTGAAGACATGATTTGTTTTAAATTTGTAAAGGCGTTTTGAAATTCTACGGAATTGTAATCGATCGTTTTGTTTTTTCCTCTCAACTGGCTAGTGAGTGGTTTGGCAAAACCTGGGATAAACCGTCGATAATAACTTACGGTTCCCAAAAAGGATTTTAGTTCTTTCGGAGTTTTCGGCAAGGGCCAGTTCAAAACTGCCTCTACCTTATGAGGGTTCGGCTTTACTCCCTCCGTTGTCACAACGTGACCAAGGAACTCAACTTCCTTGCGGAGAAATTCCGATTTATCACATTGCACTGTTAGGTTGGCTCCTTTGAGAGTTTGCAGAACCTTAGAAATGTCTTGAAGATGAGTCTCTAAAGAAGGGGAGAAGATAATGATATCATCCATATAAACGAAACATCTGATACCCAGGTGTTTCCTTAGTACGGAGTCCATCAATCTTTGGAAGGTCGCGGGCGCATTCTTTAGCCCGAACGGCATACGAATGAACTCGTATTTACCGTGATCAACATTAAAAGCGGTTTTGGGGATATCCGCCGGATCCTTTTCAATTTGGTGGAAACCACTTGCTAGGTCCAGTACTGAGAAATACTGCGCTTTGCCTAGTCTGTCTAAAATCTCGCTGATTTCCGGGATACCGGTCAGCTGGGGTGACTTCGTTTAATTTTCGATAGTCTACCACGATCCTTTATTTCTTTTCGCCAGAATTGTCGGCCTTTTTGGGTACAACCAAAATCGGAGAGGTCCATTGTGAAGAGGCCCCATAATAATTCCACTGTCGAGTATCTTCTGGATTTGTTCGGAAACAATCTCTCGAAGATGATAGGGATATTTGTATGTCCGTTGATGGATAGGCTTCGCATCAAAAGTATTTATAGCATGTTTAACTTCATGGGTGAATGATAACTTTTCCCTGTCGTTGAAAAATACGCTCTTAAATGGTTTTAATGTTTTCGCCAAACGGCTTATTTCTTCCCTATTTAAATGGCTAGCGGGAAAATCCAATTTTCCTGTATTGTTTTTAGTATTCAATATATATGGATCGTTTTCAAATGGTTTAAGATTACAGTTTTCTTTCTTGCCATCTTTCGATAAGAAAACCATCGCCTTATTGTCCTTGGCTTCGTATAGGCCGGGATTTAAGGTGACATTGGTATTAATATTAATTTCGTGCTCAATTAAAAATGGACCATTTGATGTTGTGCAAATTTCAAATAATTTCTCCGCTTGCTCATGAAAGTTCACTGAGCACGGATAGTATTTCGAAAGGGGATACTTAGTACCTCCTATAACAAGATGATGGCTTCCAGAATCAATTTTGGCTTCCATCGTCGCTAAGTTTTCATAACCGATTAGGCCGTCAAAAAATTATGAAATTTAAAAACATGACATGGAAGTTTCTTATTGAACGATTCCGGGAAGAAGTTTGCATGTATTATTTTGTCAATTGTAAACTTTCCATTTTTGTTAGTAGCTATTGAAGGATGTTTTGCTTTGGAGGCCTTTTTAACGTAGGCTGGGTCAATATACGACTTGTTGGCTCCCGTATCGATAAGAAAATTGAGGTAGCCCTTTGTCGTAGGAAATCGAAAATAAGGTATGAAATTTAGGTCTTCACGTTTTTCAACCGTACCTGCTGGAAATTCAATTCATCACTTTCCGATTGAACTTCTTCTTCAAACTCTTCTTCTGGTTCTTCTTCCACTTCTACCGGGTCCACCTCCTCCGTGTTGTTAGTTTCAATTCGAGGTTTTGGGTGGAACGGTCGCCGCGGTGCGATGGCATCCGGTTTCTTAAATTTAGTTGCACTGCTCGCGGCACTTTGCTGGGGTGCATTAAATGGTTTATGTTTGTTTACTGGTTTTCGCACTTCTGCATTCTGATTTATTATGACGGCCTGGAAGGCATCTTCCAGCGTTTTAGGTTTAGAATTACGGATGATAGAAGCAAGTGGTTCACTCACTCCGTCTAAGAATTTTGTTATCGTCATTAATTCTAGCATTTGCGAAGGCATCATAGGGTGTAGGTTTGCTTTTAATTTGGTGTTTAATTCCTTTATATAGTAATAAAATTTTTGGTTGTTTCTGTCACCTCTCTTCATATGAAATAAATTGTGAAGATTGGTGGCAAAATCACGTTGATCACCAAAATTCTCTCTCAAAACTTTCGTCAATTGTGCAATTGTATCAGGATTTCCATTGGCACATACTACTGCGCGTGCCTCGCCTTTCACTTTATTTTTGATCGCCCTAAAATAGTGCGCGTTGAAGGTGTCGGGGGCTCCCCATTCACCCTTTACTTTGAACTCGTTATAGAGCTCATCTACTTGCTGAAGCCATGCGTTCAGTTCTTTCTTACTGCCTGAATAATCTGACAGTTGTTTGATAGGGTCAGGAATATAATAAGCATTTCCTGCTCCCTGAATTAAGTTTTGTAGCTGAGCAATTTGTTGCTTCAGCTGCTCAATTTCTGCGTTGCGTGTTTCTGGCATATTTAAATAGTGGTTTAAAGGGACAGATTACTTACAGTATAACACCAATTAATTTCATCCAGTCCAGTCCTCGTGAGCGGATCGGCAGTTGCTGTCTTCGGGGATGTAGCTGCGGCGTTTTACGATCCAATTTCTCGAACTGTTGCTATACGTGATGCGGCTCTCTCGAAAGTCGATATCGTTGCGGTGTTCAGAGGTTTAATTTCTCGAACTGTTGCTATACGTGATGCGGCTTTCTCAAAAGTCGATGTCCTTGCGGCGTTCAGAGGTTTAGGTTCTCTAACTATGCACTTGATCCTCGAAGCACTTTCACTCCGGTCTCTTTATGTTACACTCACGATGATCCCACTTCTGACACCAGTTAAGGGATCTTTCTTCGTAGTTCACTTTTTAAAAAGAACTTTTAATGCTAACACTATTTATTACCGATCTTACACGTTACACATTTATGATGAATTATGACTAAATATGCTTACATTACAAAATTATGTTACCTGTCTCCTATTGGTGGAGCTACCTTACTGCCTGATTGCCCAG